TATTGTGCCCAGACTCTAAAGAGGAGAGGATGGGAAATCACGTGAATGAAGAAGAAATTACCTGGCTTTTCATTCACTACAATTTATCACCTACAATTCAACAGCAAGAGAACTGTCGGTGACCGATACATTTTGATTGGACTAATTATGAACTGTTCTAGTCCAAGCAAAATGGGAACCTTATTTCCAACAAGATGTCCCTATCATACAGGCTGAATTCATAATTAGGAATTCGAATTGATAATTTGAATTGCATTTTAGGTAACTTGAATTTGTAATGAGTGTATTTTTAGATATTTCACATTTCCTCAAGAAATGCAGAATACTTGAAGATGATTCTCTTTTAACAGAAGAGAGTGAGAATATGCTGTTTTGAGCATATCGAACAGGAACTCATAAAGTGAGCACATTATAGCTATGAGAATTGAATGAATGCAAATACAGATAGCATGCAGATCAGTTAAAAATCTACTAGTAATGGTGATGTTGGTTATGTTGAGATTTAGCAAAGAAAAATTACGACTACTGTGTAAAATATCGTGTGCAATCTGTATAAAATGAAATCTGTTCAATACATGAAGTAGGGTTTCATGGGAATTCGTCAGTGACACAGATTAGAGTGAACTCATGAGCCATTTTTAGGTTACGGCATGGTGAAGCGCATTTCAATCCAGACACAACATCAAAGTCTATCCAGATGACCACTCCTTATTTCTATCTGATTCATAACAATATGGAACTTTCGTATACACCATGGTAACCACTTGTCACAATCCATATTCACTATGGCGAAAATGTTACCAAGACATTTTAATTCCCATACAGATAACTGACATTTTCTCGGGTGAACAGATGTGGTGATAATTGACATTCCAGAACACATAAGTGATAAATCATATGAAAGTGCTCATTTTCATCCCAAAGAGACTGCATTTGATCAGAGTAACAGAACGTCTATTCTTCCATGCAGACACAATACATAGATTGAGGCAATGATGAATCTCATCTGCTTTCATTAATTTCTATAGTCTTAATTCTAAGGCAGATTTGTCTGTGTTACTGATTACAATCTACTGGTGTTTCCTCAATGCTCCATCTAACATAGGCGAATGAGGTGGATAAGAGACGCGAATTTTGCCCTAAACAGGCTGATTTGAGGAAAACCTAGTCATGTTCAGATCACACTGAAAAACCACTAATCACCACCGAGCCAAGCATGGAGGGGCGATTAACTAGATACTCTATCTGCCACCGTTCCACATCCAACATTTGAAATAATGAAATACTAACTGCTGTTGTAGAATGAGCAGAAATTCCTTCCAAGTCCTCTACTGACGTTGGGTGTTATGAATTATGCGATCTGCACAACCACATCGCACAATAATTATTGAGCGTCAGAGTTAGTCTACAAATATTATTGTTCATGTCGGTTAGATCTCTGTGCTATTTACTTTTTTGAATATCCACGATTAAATGTAATTTCACACATTAAATACTCCTGAATGTTTAGTGAGTGATCTCGCCGCATTCAAAGTCCACATAAAATATTTCATGTTAAGTATCCACGGTCGAGGTAACTGAAGAGTTTAACTTCATCGTATCAAGTTGACTTTGTACCGAAGATTGAAAACGTTTTACATGAAGTATATGCGATCTCAAATTTCTTTCTATCCTGAATATGCGAAACATCACTTCATCTGTGATAATAATCATCAAAATTATTTTAGTTATCCCTATCACATATTAGTAATTTCTGAACGGTTGTAGGATTTCAACATGAGCTGATATCAGTTAGAGAACCATCGGAAACCCACTAGGGACTACTGGACGGCTGTTTCGTCGATCTAGTACGGGACTCTTCATCACTACGCACCAACTGGGTGGGATTCGAACCTAGGGCCTTCTGGTCTCAAAGCGACCATTGTAGACCATTAACAGTTCCAAATCAGGAATAAACAGCTGTCCAGCACTCTCAGGATTTCCAATGGTTCTCTAAGTGATGTCAGCCCATGATGAAGTCCCCCAACTAATCAAACTTCTGAATGACTTTATTACCATGTAAACCAAGTATTAGTTGATAACTGTTTACGTGCAACGTCTTTTGCAGTAACATCTTTGAACGATTTGGTAAAAGTCGCTTGATTTATTAGAATGGCATCAATTTCAAAACCATACTACCAAAAACTAAGAATGCAACAACAATCATCATTGATAGAGAAAAGATCAGTAGTTCAGCGAAGAGTCACTTTTCGGCGAATTCGTTTTCCTACCTGTACAATCGGAAATATATGTGGGTTATTTTGTATCTATGTGTACATTAAGATTGTCTAACTAAATCCTAATTGAAACATCTCCTCGAAATCCTGTTTCATATAGGCCAGGAAGTTCATACATCAATCACCCACGCGTTTATTAACAGCATAGCTTTATATCTTCGTGACAAAAGATTAACTATTAGGTAGACTCACTGAAAGAGAGAATGAGGTCATTCACATTCATTCGGGAGACTGCATAAAACGTCGTCTGTGAGGTGGAAACTGAGAAGAATCAATGAGTGATGGTGGCGCTGAAGTTGATTACACAATGAGTCGTAACTGTAAAATGAGTAAATTCCAAACGGTAAAATATCATAATTTGTACGAGAATGCAAGGATTTCGTCACGTGAGCGGTTATGTAGTGATGAAAGTAGACAGTTTCAAGAAAGTAATTGTTCTGGCTTATTCTGAAGACGCTAATTTCACTTATTCAGATGGATTCAAATACCATCTCCTGTAGACATCAGTTGAACGAGTGTAGTGAAATCAGTAATGTAAACAGGAGCATTACTTATGTGAACAATCATAATGGTTGGTAATACAGATTCCTGTTCCTCAAGAGATGTTATCATGCCGTTTCAGTTACACCATGATTTAAGAGTTTGCTAAAAGCTCATCTAGTACATTGCTTATCCACATTACACTGCTGACTGCTTGATGAATTTTTATCAGTAATTGGACTAATTGAAAACTTCATCATTCTCGTATCTACGTAGAGCGACAAATGATGATCGCATATATCGTCAGAAAAAGAGCTCGGTTATCACAAGAATACGTAGTTTCCATGCTGTTTAGTTCTCTAGATATGTTAACTCAGCTTAGCGTGTAGAACCTAAACTCTCTGTGCTCCACCATACGTGACACTTCCTGTCTGAATATCATTCAGTGTAATTTCGTCTCATATGACCTTGTTAGTCTTATATTCGAGTAATTTCTGATAGTACATTTTATATTGGAGCAGCATAGCTTACAATTTGAGGTTAGTAAAAATGAGTCTTCTGTCGTGTTGGACTGGAAGTGAATCATACTGTTGAGACGTTCAAATCTCCTGTAATGTATTTCTTGAACTAAGATGGGGATTATGTAGAATAGTTTTACTTTTTGTTTCAAAGTTACACTCATGAAATTGCATAATCAGAGAAACTTGAAAATATTGACCGAATTCCCCGCTGTGACATATGGATTGATTAGTATACTGGTGTCGAGCTAAGATACATGATTCTGACAACGATTCCTGATTTTCATTCGGTTTAAAACAATCCATCGCACATGGGTAGGATGATGTGAATGGACGTGGAATATATTATTACACACGTCAAATTCTTCTGAAGCAATAAAACGCATTGAAGTGCACTTAAGTATGCAACAGTCTCGAATTGACTGACACATTTATCTGTCTCCTGTTTGTCTCATGCGTTTTCTTCATGGAACTTCACTTTAGGTAACGAACACATTTCAGCTTATTCAACTGGCACTCATGATTTTATAACAGCACTATTTCGATTGTTTGCCGAATGTCATTACATTTGAAATCGATTTTTATTACAGGAGGTTGAAATAAACCTGAATGATTAGAGAAATCATCCTAACCATGCAGAAGTCTTTAAATCACAATATTTGTGATTCGTTTTCCCTTGATAGCTGAATATCTGTTTGCAAAACACGCAGACAAAGTAGATATTCCTCTTGAAAGAACTACTGAATCATGAAGAACCTTCCATGTAATGTGGGAAAATGGATACTTAGGTACTATTTCATTCGAAGTTCTCGTATATTTACACTTGTGTGTAAGCAAAGCTTCACCTCATTTTCTGCCTAAGTGTTGAAAGCTTATCCACCAAATTGTCGTCTGCGTCTTAAGATAGCGAAATCAGCTGTCATTTAACTCGTGTAAGACATACTAATAAGAGCTGGTAGGATAAGCTGATGCTGCATTATAGATAAATTTTCTTTCCAACCTTATAACAAGTGTGCAAGACGAAATCATCTTCATCTAAATATCTTCGATATTTAGATAGCACAGTTTCATGCTTCTGTGAAATGCACAGGGAAAGCTGCAGTTATCTTTCAGTAATTTGGTTCACATTTCACAACATTTCTGATTGTTGTTTGGCATTAATAACAATAGCGTTACCACATTTGTAATCGGCTGCCCCGTTTGATAATTTACTAATTCCCACTATCTTTAACTCAGAATGAAAGTAACTTTGATATAACTACTTTCACTTCCAGTGAATAACGATTACGTCACATTCGTTGGACGTTTTCATGAATTATGTCAAGCTGATGGACATTATACCCTGTATTACTCTATGCAATTACCATGCATCCGTCAATAAATAGTAGGTTAAGTAAAAGAATAGCGATTCAAGAGAACGAACACATCAGCGAGCTTCAAATGAGAAATCATATCAAGATAGTGAAACCAGGTGAAAAACATCATATTCGTGAAGAAGTACGGAAAATACCTAACAGGATACTTCCTGTATAGTTTTCTCTCGTTATTATGAATGCTTAACTCCGTTTCTCTTCTTTCTCCTGAACTCGCCGAATAAATGCATGTGACAGTTTAGACGCGGATGGTGCGTACATTGCCCTTCGATAGCTATTCTTTATGTTTGCCGAATATTATTACGTGCACAAAATCCATTCAAAATATAGATATTGAATAAAAAGTTGTATTTTTCCACTCAGTGACCAGTACTTTGTTGATGGCTTGTAACACTGATACACTGGCATATTCGTTAAAGAGTGAAAACCTTGAATTCTGCGATTCATCCATTGGCTTCAAGCTAATTTAGACATTTCTTATTTTGTTCGATTTGGGAACATTATCAAGAAAGCAATAAACGATGCTGCTGTCATCATGAATACCAAACTTGAAAAGAAAATGCTTCCGCCTTCCGTTGTTTTCGACTTTTTGTCCCATACCACTTTCACGATTGTATAGATGAACTGAAATGACGAACAGTTTGAAGCATCACCAGTGAATTAGTGTACGTTCGAATAGTGAAATTTGACTAAACAAAGCAGTTTCTATAGTGTGTTTCTCAACTGAGATAAATTACTTGTAAAGTTGTATCACTACATCATTCAAACCACACAGCTTACTCATCACACTCCGAAATTGGCTGATACAACTAAATCGACACTAACGCTGATTCCTGAACAAATTTAACTGGTCAATGTCTCATTCAGGATCACCGCAGACACTACGTTTATTCGTACTTATGAAACAAGACCAAATAATTAAATGGATTTCTCGATTTTCTGAGAAACAAATGATTTGATGGATTAGTAGGAAGAACTGTAGACACGAAGGGTATGTTAACGGTTAATTACATGCAAAACCCTCGTATCTAATCTGGTGAGACAATTTCACATCAGAGTCAAAAGAATTTACAGTGGAGTCCGAAAGCATTACGTCATCGAAATGATTTCTTCTTCCTAGACTAGGATTAAATATCTGTTAGATAAAATCTTAGTGTTCAAGTCAAAACAGTGAATCCTATCGATTCACTTCAATCGATTTCCTACTTATCTGTGGATTGGAGTATTTCGAAGTATTATTCAAGAAATAACTTAAAGACAACATGATATGATGAAATTTTGTGCGTTGGTGGCACAGTGGTTAAGACATTCGCTGAACATGCACATGGTCTGGAGTTCAATCCCCTGTCTAAGCACATGTGATACCAATGGTCAGCTTGCGACATTTGGGAAATCGATATCACATGCTGAAAATTCCTTACTTGTACCAAAAAATACGGTGTGAAATCAAGCTATCATCTAAAAAATTTGTGGATGCATCATATGCCAACAGTATTATTGACCTAGTTTAGTGAAACATCATGTTCTCTATTGACAGCCTTCCGTGGCCTTCGCAGTGTGAAAGAATCTTTCACATTCAGTCCAGGAAAGACTAAGAGGAGGTAGTGAAGGAGTATATGCAGAATACAAGAATTAACAAACATAGGATATTAAGACTGCATGATACCAAGTCGTCTTTACTTCCCTACTTAGTACGTCAAACGATGTATCTTTCAGGAAAATAGCATGCAGCTGGAGTATCAGCAAAGATCGGACAAATAACACACTACAAGATATTTAAAAATCGATTTAGTTTCAACCTCAAAGATAGGACTCCAAGTAAACATAGAGAAAACAGAAGTGTTCAAGATTCCTGGCCAACAGAAACAGCGACAACAACAACAGACAAAAATCAGAATAAATAGGATAGATCTGAAAGAAGAAATCTCCTTCAACTACCCACCTACCCAACTGGGAAGCATCAATCCAACTACAGGCGGACGGAACTGATGAAAATATCAAAGCGATCAGGAAGATCAGGAAATCAAGGCTAGCTTTCAATACTTTCAAGTCTGTGTAAAGGTCAACACCACTCAGCATGAAAATGAAAATAACATTCAGATTTCCAACTCCAATGTTAAGTCAGTCCTACTCTACACGGATCAGAGACTTGGCGTGTTAGGAAGAGCTCCTCAAACTAACTATTGACTCTCATCAACAGATGTCTTCGCTTAGTACTCAAGATCAGGTGGCCAACCAGAAACGATCATCAACAGGGATCTCTGGCAATGAGCGGACCGACCCATCAGGAACTGATTGTGCAAGGAATATGCAGGAAGAAATGGAGGTGGATTGGCTATACTCTGAGGAAACCATAAAGTGACATCACAAGACAGGCCATCACTTGAGTGGAACCCGAGAGGGAAGTGGTGAGTTGGTCGTCAGTTCGTGGGTGACATGGAGGAGGTCATATGGAGAGGAGTTGAAAACATGTGGGCGGACCTGAATCCAGGTGAATGCGTTAGCAGAGTACCGAACGGAATGTAAACGTGCAGCTGAAGTCCTATGTTTCTCTAGGAACTAAAGAAAACAATAATAATAATATGCCTGCGTATTTTCGCCTATTTTGGTTCAAAGACGCATGTATGTAGATTTTGATGATGGTTTCACTAACTGACAATCATGTCATTGCCTGCCATTCCATAACAGTTTAAAACAATGTAAGTGAGTAAATTAGAATCATCGGTTACATTTATTCATTGGTACTTACTATCGCCAGTCCAGGGACTACGCAACCAAGCAACACTTGAGTGGTTATCTGTTAAGAGATAAGCAAAATAAACTGGTCAGAGATAGCGATGATTGAATGAAACACAGTCAGCATACAATCACTTTATAAAACTTTTATGCAAATTTCATTGATGAAGTGAGTGTGAAAGAAAAATACTTATTTGACAGTATTCTAAGGTAAAACTATCTACAGAATATCAGAAAACGTTTGACGAATGGTAAAACGATTTCTGCACAGACAGTATAAAGTTATAGTGATTTAACTTTTCTAACTTATTCTTGTTGTTCTCGATTTACACACATCTAATGAGCAAAATAACCTCGAATACTATTTCCCTCCAGATATCAGAAATCTTCAGGAGGAATGAAACAAAATTTTAAAAAAAACATACATACCATCGAATGAGACTGAATTACTGCGAAAATAATAAGAACGATAAAAATTGCCCCCATTATTCCCGAAAAGATAAATAAGAATTTATAGTTCAGCAATCTAACTGACTTCGAAAGTACAGCTGCAGGAAATAGTAAGATGATGAGCAATATAGCCAACGCATATGATGCTAGACACCATTTCGTGATATAAAACGTTGCTACCACGCCACAAAATATCGACATCACAATATTCTGAAATAAGAAGAAGAAGAAGAAGAAGTAAGTGCCACATAACCAACTCTTCCATAAATAACTGTAACACTCCACATGGATGTACAGCATGACTGGTAAAACATAGAATGATATAATCTTTAGTTCGAAAACTCTTTCCGAGTACCTGAGAAGTTGTTGATTTCAACTGATGAATAAGTTTTCTTTCAAAAACTAATATTTCTCAGTCAACTGAAGTTTTGTGGCATTTCAGATATTTTGCAATAAATCAACAGTAAAGTAAAATAATCTGATGATAGATCACCGGATTGAGCGAGAGGGTTTAATAAATTCATTCAACTTCCGTAGAATTCTCGAAATAAATTCTGCACATAAAATGTTATTGAATATATAATATTCGAAAAATATGGTATATGTGATACTCATCAGTCGCATCACGACCAACTTTATTCTTACGTTACATACATCGCTGTGTGTACAGTATTCACTTGTAGAGTTCATTAAGTCCTGCTTCATTAACATCTGTTTCTTGCTGTAAATACACAACGATGTAGAAATGTTTCTAATGAGATATTTGATAGTAAAATGAAGACATTTACAGATATGCCAATATTTCATGAGTTGATGCCCAACTATGTTAAATTCCAGCTTTGATATAAATGGAAGGAAGGAAATTCTCTATCTGTTTTCCATACGTATTATTATTAGTATATCCTTTAATTCCTAGAGGAACATAGGGCTTCAGCTGCGCATCTCCATTGCCTTTGATTTGCTGTCAACTTTTTCACCCCGCTACAAGTCTGCCCACATGCTTTCATCTCCTCTTCACATGATCTCCTCCACGTCACCCTCACACTGACGACCAACTCGCCACTTCTCTTCCGGGTTCCACTCGAGCAATGGCTTGTCTAGTGATGTCACTTGATGGTTTGTTTCCTCAGTGTATGGCCAATCCATCTCCATTTCTTCCTGACTATTTGTTTCACAATCGGTTCCAGCTGGGTTGGTTCGCTCATTGACAGAGAACCCTGTTACTGATCGTTTCTGCTTGGCCATCTGATTTTGAGTGTTGAGCGAAGACAACTGTTAATGAAGGTCTGAAGTTTGTCTGAGATGCTCTTTATGATGCGCCAAGTCTCTGATCCGTGTAGAGTAGGACTGACTTAACATTGGAGTTAGAAATCTGAATGTTATTTTCATTTTCATTCTGAGTGGTGTTGACCTTTACACAGACTTGAGAGTAGTGAAGGCTTGCCTTGACTTCTTGACCCTTGCTTTGATATTTTCATCAGTTCCGTCTGCCTGTAGCTGAAACGATGCTTCCCCATACGTATGTAGAAACAATTTACCCTGTGTGAACAATTTTCAGCAACGACACTCACACAGCCAAAATCTCAGTTCACCAATGTTGCTCAAATGACAAAACGATAACAGGCCTTTATGCGAACACAGATTCACACATAGATATTAAGAGACAAAACTCCACTATATTGACAGATGATTTGTGTACTTATGATGCAAAATATGATGAAAAATACAATTTTAGACAAACTATCATCTCGATTTGAAACCGTTTGGTATGTGTTTTACACGACACTGAAATTGACATCAAGTCTTCATTCAAATAAGCGACAAAACAAAATTCCATGAAATACAACAGCGAAACGAGAATGACTCACCATAATAACTGCAAATATGATATGAACTGCTAGGGGAATTCGAAAGCTTGAAATGGCAGTCCAAATAATATATACACAGGCTGAGAAAGCACTACAAATTCAACTGACACGTTGTATTTATTACGACTTACCCTGCACTCACAAAAATCCACTTATATTTATCAATCCAGGTTTTGTCTCCACTGCACATTGCAATACTTCTTGATTCAATAGCAAACTTACACATCATTGAAAATGAGAACGATTGTCAGCAGTACAACCAATTGCAAAGTTAAGAACAACAGAAAAATTCCCTGATTTCGTTTAATCATCCAGTATCAGCTGTCATTTTATCTCACCTTGACGTTCATTTTTATCAGTGAATGACGAATGATAATTTTCAAATATATTTTACAACTGTGTTCTTTCGCGTATCTGAATATGGAAATATCTCACATAAGATAAATAAAAATTCATTATCTGCACAAAGTTTACCGTGGAAACAGTTTTGACTAATGCGATTAGTCGTTGTTTCTCAAAGTAATAGTTATTGTTGAAAATAAATTCTTTGGTTAAGGTCTAGATAGACGAACAGTCAAACTAACATAACTGGTAATTAACTTCAGCAGTCTACTGATTTTGGAAATAGTGATTGGCTGCAAATCAACGACCTCGGATTGGTTATGATAATTCGTGATCACCTGCCATTGGACAGTTTTGCTGGTTGAATTTAAAGTAGTCACTGTGATATGCACTTTTCGTAGGCATTTTTGTTTATGCCTTATTTACAAGTAAATAGAGATCTATGTTGCGGTTATGAGAAAAACCTGATCTCGTATATTCCCTCACAAAAATGAGCAAGCCTTCATTGATTTCCTTCAGATGCATTTGTAACAAATTATAGTTTCTGTTTACGGAAAGGTTATTATTATTAATAATATTATTTGCTTTAATCCATAGGGGAATATATGACTTCAGCTGCACGTCTCCATTCCCTTCGGTTCTCTGCTAAATTTTTCACCTGGATTCACGTCTGCCCACAGAAGCATGAAACTGTGCACCAATATCGAAGATATTTAGATAGAGATGATTACGTCTTGTATGCTTATTTGAAGATTGGAAAAGATTTTTATCTATGATGCAGCATCAGCTTATCCTACCAGCTCTTGTTACTATGTCTTACACGAGTTAAATGACAGCTGAATTCACTCGCTTAAGGCGTATACGACAGCTTGATGGATAAGCTTTCAACAGTCAGGCAGGAAATGATGAGAAGCTTTGCTTACAAAAAGTATAAATATACGAGAAATTCGAATGAAATAGCACCTAAGTATCCATTTTCCCACATTACATGGAAGGTTCTTCATGATTCAGTAGTTCTTTCAAGAGGAATATCTACTTTGTCTTCGTGTTTCGCAAACAGATATTCAGCTATCAAGGGAAAACGAATCACAAATATTGTGATTTAAAGACTTCTGCATGGTTAGGATGATTTCTCTAATCATTCAGGTTTATTTCAACCTCCTGTAATAATAATCGAATTCAAATGTAATGACATTCGGTAAACAATCGAAATAGTGCTGTTATAAAATCATGAGTGCCAGTTGAATAAGCTGAAATGTGTTCGTTACCTAAAGTGAAGTTCCATGAAGAAAACGCATGAGACAAACAGGAGACAGATAAATGTGTCAGTCAATTCGAGACTGTTGCATACTTAAGTGCACTTCAATGCGTTTTATTCCTTCAGAAGAATTTGACGTGTGTAATAATTTTCTAAGTTTTATAATTCTCGTATTCTTCACATAGTCCTGTGTTCGACGTTTTACCGGCGCACACTCGATGTATATATGGATTGCCTGCAAAATTTCGGCTATCGATATCACATGCTGAAAATTGCATACTTGTACCAAATTATACGGTGTGGAATCAAGCCATAGTCAAAAGTAAATAAAATAAATAATACACTCGTTTATTGCCTCCTCTTAGTCTTTCCTGGACTGAATGTGAAAGATTCTTTCACACTGCGAAGGCCACGGAAGGCTGTCAATAGATAGGATGATGTGTCACTCAACCAACTCATTATTACCGCTGTAGACAGACACACAATCTACTAGAAATAAGCAAATATTATCTTATCAGACCGCAAGCATCCTCTCTAAATGCAACTCTCTCATTGTCTCTCATTAGGTGGTACTATATTCGAATATGGAAGACTACGAGCTTAGACAGATAAGTACTTTATAATAATCCGTTTGGCACACATTTAATCTGATGAGAAATGTGTAAGGCAGTATACCGCCAGTCTATAGCGGAACACTATGTATACAACACTATTGCTACATCATTATTTTGTCAATTTTTTCACCTAATTTAGCATTTACATTCTTGTTTGGCAGTATTACCAATTCGAATGCCCGTGTTTCCCTGTAATGAAAACGTTAGATGCTGCACTCTACTGTATGTTGAATATTCCATATTTGTGCCAAAAATCTTGAGGTTTGCATATTATATTATAATCAGTAATACAGCCTTAAGCTGATATCCTACTAAATATGATTTATAATGAATATTTCACCTATGAAGGGTCTCAGATAAATACAAATTTCCATGATTTCACGGTAGACATAATAATAAACAGAGAAGTCCTTTGTATTGATCTGTGGACTGAAACAAAACAGACTGAAAGCATTCTAATTTACGTAGTTTAGTAAATATGTGAGTCCGAAATTGACCTAGAGAGTTGTGTGTTATCAGGTTTAAGTATTAAGTAGACAATAATAAGAGAGAGGAAACTTAGAGGTTGAAAAAGGACAGAATAATTTTTATATATTAAATATTCCCATAGAAAAATTCAGAACAGCATATTTAAGCGAACAATAATGTTAACGTGTCACTGTTAAGAAGCGACAGTTCAAAAGTTTAAAATTTCAGGATAACCTTTTTATTTTTATGCTTAAGTGCCAACACGTAAATACAGGCTAACATGAACGACGATCCTGTACACTGATCACTCACGAAACTCCTCACACCAGCTTTCAGTGACTTCATTTGTTGAAGTCTTATTTCGGTTTCAGCACAGACTATAATTTCCACCGTCAAATTATGTGTTTATTCGAGAAAGACTATTCTTCATGATGAACAAAACACGTCCTAGCCATTTCACTTTTAGAATATAGGGAATGTATATATGAAAACAATATCTTAATAAAATAGGGATAGGACTGCTAATTAGCGTTACAGGATATTTGACATATACGTCGGTTTCCTCAGTTTACACAGTCCCTTCGGGTGCATTTAAGCTCCAATCCACTAGCATATTACCTATAAAAATTATTTTTTTCAATTAGATCTCATCAGGCTTAACTCTAATATATATAAGTTTACAAATAAAATTCAAATATAAACCAATCATGGTGTTTTGTCTATAGGATAATACGATGGTGAATATAAATTGTGCAATTAGTCATAATAGTAGTAATGATAATAATAATAATGGTCTTATCAATAATAAGAATGCAAAAAGTGAGGCAATCTGTGATAGCACGAATAATGAAAAACAGTATGATTAAACAAACAATTGTTCAGGTGGAAGTAGTCGATAACGGCTAGTAAAAACAAATGAACCGATTAAATAATGTTAGATTGTAAGGGAACGAAATGAAACACGTTTATAATGAAGATAAGATTAAGGGATGATAAGAAGGGGTTGGAAATATAAATAAGGGGTGGTGTAGAAGTCTTTAGTTGGTTATATCTTAATAGGCCAAGGAAGGGATAATGGCTGTACGAAATTTTTCTGAATGCATAGTTTAGGTTTAATAGTTCGAATGCCTATCACCTCATCTGTGTGCAGTAGACGAATACGAAGTCTATTAGAAAGATTCGGTGGGATACGATGAATTACTTTGAAGGCTCTCGTTTTCTCGACTACGTGACCACTATCAATTAAATGTGACAGAGTTGAGCTACTAGTGAGATTCTATTCCAAAGACTTTCAAGGAGTATATGAAGAACATTTTACACAGCACACCTATGTTTGTCATTCTCTAGCCGACGAATGATTGAGACGCAAACGAAGGATGAGCTTGATAGTTTTGCCACACCTATACGTATTTATCAATTCAACTGCACCTGCGGTGACAGTTATGTTGGCCGCACCACTAGACAGCTTAGCAAACGTGTTAGTGAACATCTCCCATCATGGTTTGGCAAAGGACAGACAAAGACAATCCGTAGCTCAACTCTGTCACATTTAATTGATAGTGGTCACGTAGTCGAGAAAACGAGAGCCTTCAAAGTAATTCATCGTATCCCACCGAATCTTTCTAATAGACTTCGTATTCGTCTACTGCACACAGATGAGGTGATAGGCATTCGAACTATTAAACCTAAACTATGCATTCAGAAAAATTTCGTACAGCCATTATCCCTTCCTTGGCCTATTAAGATATAACCAACTAAAGACTTCTACACCACCCCTTATTTATATTTCCAACCCCTTCTTATCATCCCTTAATCTTATCTTCATTATAAACGTGTTTCATTTCGTTCCCTTACAATCTAACATTATTTAATCGGTTCATTTGTTTTTACTAGCCGTTATCGACTACTTCCACCTGAACAATTGTTTGTTTAATCATACTGTTTTTCATTATTCGTGCTATCACAGATTGCCTCACTTTTTGCATTCTTATTATTGATAAGACCATTATTATTATTATCATTACTACTATTATGACTAATTGCACAATTTATATTCACCATCGTATTATCCTATAGACAAAACACCATGATTGGTTTATATTTGAATTTTATTTGTAAACTTATATATATTAGAGTTAAGCCTGATGAGATCTAATTGAAAAAAATAATTTTTATAGGTAATATGCTAGTGGATTGGAGCTTAAATGCACCCGAAGGGACTGTGTAAACTGAGGAAACCGACGTATATGTCAAATATCCTGTAACGCTAATTAGCAGTCCTATCCCTATTTTATTAAGATATTGTTTTCATATATACATTCCCTATATTCTAAAAGTGAAATGGCTAGGACGTGTTTTGTTCATCATGAAGAATAGTCTTTCTCGAATAAACACATAATTTGACGGTGGAAATTATAGTCTGTGCTGAAACCGAAATAAGACTTCAACAAATGAAGTCACTGAAAGCTGGTGTGAGGAGTTTCGTGAGTGATCAGTGTACAGGATCGTCGTTCATGTTAGCCTGTATTTACGTGTTGGCACTTAAGCATAAAAATAAAAAGGTTATCCTGAAATTTTAGACTTTTGAACTGTCGCTTCTTTACAGTGGCACGTATGGCTTATGCATTCATTCTCTTATTGAAATGTGTTCAGAGAACTGATGAATGAAGACGAAAAGAAATTGTTTGGTAAGTTCTGAGGGTTTTAACATTGAGGCAAGAACAGACTTGAGGGTGGAATGGGATAAGACCCAAGGTTCCTTTGTAGACATAACATTTTCACCCGACACCCATCCAACTTTATCTTTGCCTCATTTTCCTTTCTTC